ACACACACACACACACACACACACACATATATATATGTATACATGTATCTGTTTAATCTTTCCTAGGTCAGATTTGTATGCACACTACGCTCTGTACTAAATGACCTACCACTTGCTATAAAAAACCGCGTATGATATGTTACACGACGTACTATAATCCTCTGGTTCATCTTGATAGCGGTCGGCGTTGCTTCCGCTCACTTTCCCTGGCCCTTCCTTGTTCCGGGACCCTTTACTTTTATTCTTAGCGTTGTTTCCATCCTTGCCCGTGGTTGGTGTGCTTTTGACGCCATTTTTCTTTTCCTGTTGTTGCTGGTACTGTCTGGATCGTTTCTGTTTGTGTTGATCTGGCCTCATGATCGGTGGTGTGGATGTATAGCTACAGACAATGGTATGTATATGATAATTGTATTTACTTATAGCTTTATATGTTTATAGGTGAACCACGGACAATTGTGAGCAACTGTTTTGCCTACGTTTATATCAGTCGAAGTCCGCACATCTAGATTGTAGATCCTGCAATGCTATAAACAATCATGACATACAAGATACATTTACCACTTACACACATCCGGGATGTCTTCACGAAGGGCACATAGTTAAATAAATGCGAATACACCGACACTTGATATATAATACATACGAGACGTTGCCCCTGTTTTATTTAGAAGTAGGCTATGTACGAGTGAGAGAGAAAAAGTGTTTCATGATGTAGCGAAAAAGCTGGTTTTGCATTAGTTGCTCGAAATAAGATTGTTTCCAAAAAAAAACTATGAATATCTGTGGCAAATTCTAGTTTGCACATAAATAAATAGCCGTCTATAGTTTGCGTTGCGCAAATTTAAAAAAAAAGAAAAAGAATAAGCGGTTTTAAAAACATGCGCATTATTTATTATTATATTTGTATTTCTGTATTTTTGTCCTATCGAGATTTCAGCGAATATTTGCTGACCTGACTTGAGCCGTGCATCATCTCACGTTAAAACGGATAGACCAACGTTTGTGTTTACGTTCAACGTTTACGCTGCTGTATGACACCTGCACGTGACCCCTTTATCACAGAAAACGGGTCATCATAATTTTGGTATTTTTGAAGACGCGCTGAGAGTCTCTTTTTTAAAAGCATACTATAGTGTATGTAGTGTATACAACTATACTTCATATATATATACATAAATACATACATCCATATTTGAATATCTACTCACACATCTAAAGCAGCGTTTGTATATCTTGCAGTATGTCTATGATATCATGTCTCACCTGGGTGGAGAGGGGGGTTGCCAGTGCAGTACCCGACAAGGTTGAGTTGGAAGGCGATGTGCTTGAAGCCTTGATCGAACAAACACGCTCAGCATCACTTGAGGAAGATGATAGCGATGGAGATGATGACGAAGACAAGAACGGTGATGATAATGCGCCAAACGACGGGGGTAACCATGGTAGTACAGATTCACAGGATGATGGAGATATGGATGATATGAATGACGCTGACATGGACGCAAGGCAGGTTGAGATGAACGAGAGTGATGAAGAGAGTGAGCAATTTGACGACGTAGACAGTGACTCGGACGATGGAACGGCAACTGGTCGCATGACTGGGCTGGGAGGGCTGATTGTGCACACATCGACCACTCAGGATCCCTACATAACGAGTAAGTCATGAATA